CCCTCAGCCATACGGATATCCTCCTCAGCCTCAGCCAGGTTACGGTTACCCCCCACAACCGATGGCTCCGCCCCAGCCTCAGCCACAGCCACAGTACGTCCAGGCCGCTCCGCAGCAACAGAAAAAGGGTATGGGCACGGGTACAGCCGCCGCTCTAGGTGTTGGTGGTGGTCTGCTCGGTGGTGCTATGTTGGCGAGTGCGTTCGATAGCGGTGATGATGTTGATGCCTATAAGGATGGCATGCAGGATGGATATACGGACGGTTATGGTGACGGCTTTGGTGATCGTTTTGATGATGGTGCTGATTTCTGATTGTAATGTCTTGATTTTTCTTAGCTGAATAAAGCCTGTTCATATACATATCATGATTGTGACATGGATACTTTCGACAGAGGATACAATGTGCAAACCAATATTACTAACCTATTATACGGACAATGGCTATGATTTATTACATCAAGCCAGGCGGTTTTGCAAAATTCCCATGATTTTGTTGATCCTAGTGAAAAACCATGACACACTTGTTCTCATCCCTTGCAGATGTTGTGCTGCCTGAAACCCGAGTAAGCTGTAGGATCAAAACATCGCCCCCTGAGCATGCAAGGAGGCATCGCAAACATAGACCGGTGAATTGATCACCAATCCTGTGTACTTAGTAGTCGCGCAGTGATGAAAAGGCAATGGGATCTGCGGTCCACGCTCCACACGGCCACCATTGGACAGCTTCCTCTGGACCAGCGTGAACAGCCCCGCCATATGTATGTATCTCTCCAATTGCACCATATCGAGGTCCGATGGTCGAAGCAGGAGGAGGACGATACTTGCATCGAAAAGCGCCGAGGTAGGAGATGGAGAGACGCTGGAATAAGATCTTGTAATTCTTCTTTCTCCTCCTCATTTTCACCATCACCATCATCACTGGTACTCCCCTTCCTATACGGCAAATCAACCCGTGTAGTAGCTAGTCACATCTATCAAGATGAGCCAACGCTTTGAGACTCTTCAGTTGCACGCAGGGTGGGTCAGATGCTGCAAATAAACCGTCAATTGAGGTCAACTGGCCTTTGGAAAGGCGCAAGCATTACTGACATCCTCATCCTCTTGAATTGCAGTCATACTCCTGACTCGGCCACCAACTCCCGTGCAGTGCCGATTTACGCTACGACGGTGAGGAAGAAAACCCCCCTTCATTGCAAGCTATCAAAAGGCGATCGCACAACTGACTCGATCACAAGTCCTATGCATTCGACAACTGCGAACATGGCGCCGATCTCTTCAGTCTTCGAAAGCCGGGAAACATCTACTCCCGCATCATGAACCCCACTGTCGATGTCTTCGAGAAGCGCATGGCAGCTCTTGAGGGCGGTTCTCTCGCCGTCGCGGCCTCTTCGGGCCAGGCAGCCCAGTTCATGACCATCGCCACTCTCGCGGGCGTGGGTGACAACATCGTTGCCACGAAGAATTTGTACGGTGGCACATACAACCAACTCAAGGTCTTCATTGCCCGTCTGGGAATCGAGACTCGCTGGATTGATGGCGATGATGCGACTGCGATTGGGGAGGCAATTGATGACAAAACCAAGTGTGTCTACTTGGAGACCATTGGCAACCCAAGATTCAACGTCCCCGATTTCGAGAAGGTCGCGGCTGTGGCGCATGAGAAGGGCGTTCCCGTTGTTGTATGTTCCACACCCAAGCCATTCGCGAATACTGAACGTCACTAAACAGGGACTTTTGCAGGTCGACAACACCTTCGGTGCTGGTGGCTTCTTCTGCCAGCCCCTGCTTCACGGCGCTGACATCGTCGTCCACAGCGCCACGAAATGGATCGGCGGTCACGGCACCACTATTGCCGGTGTCGTCGTCGACAGCGGCCGTTTCCCCTGGGCTGAGCATCCAAAGCGATTCCCCCAATTCGCTGAGCCCAGTCCAGGCTACCACGGCCTGGTCTTCAACGACGCCGTTGGCAAGGATGCCTTTGCAATCCGGTGCCGTGTTGAGACGCTACGTGACCTAGGAAGTTCGCTCAATCCGTTTGCCGCCCAACAGTTGATTCTAGGATTGGAGACATTGAGCTTGAGATGCGAGCGCCATGCAGAAAATGCAACGAAATTCGCCAAGTGGTTGGAGGCGAACGAGAATGTCAAGTGGGTTTCGTACCCTGGATTGGAGTCGCATCCTAGTCATGAGCTGGCGAAGAAGTACTTGCCGAGAGGGTTCGGTGGTGTGCTTTGCTTCGGTGTCAATGGAGATGCAGAGAGTGGACAGAAGGTTGTCGATTCGTTGAAGCTGGTCACTAACTTGGCTAAGTAAGTCTGCTCTACGTTATCTGTTTACTGATCAAGGACCACAATTGACATTAATGTGATGCAGTGTCGGCGACTCCAAGACCCTCGCTATTCACCCCTGGTCAACTACTCACGAGCAACTCAACGCCCAGGAAAAGATCGACAGCGGTGTTACTGAAGACATGATCCGTATATCTGTTGGCACCGAGCACATCGACGATATCATTGCCGACTTCGAGCAGGCGTTCGCCGCTGCTGCTGATGGTCAGGCATAAATCCTTCTTTTTGGCTGTCGGGCCCGCGAGTAATCATGCAAACTGATGCTCAGGGGCCGTAAGACAGAAAATGCCCTTTCCATTGTATCAGTTATGTACAGGTTTTGGAAACCATGAAAATGCCTCTGTATTTTAACTGCAATTGATGATTGATATGTTTTCACGCAATCTATCTTCGTGATATGCGATTGAAAGGAGAGAAGAATAAAAAAACAACGACACCTGTGAGATTCGAACTCACGCGGGCGAACCCACAAGCTCACAAGGCTATAGAAATAGCAGGCTTGCGCCTTAACCACTCGGCCAAAGTGTCAGAATAATGAAGCAGCGGCCGTATGACGTTTAACTTCAATGCAATGATATCTGATCGAACATCTTTTCCTGAGCAGATCAAGCTCGAAGGTCAGGTATTGAGACGGCATGGAGCATGGAGTTGGGATGCGTTATTTGTATTTGATCTTAGCAAAGCAGGTCGAGAGTGTCAGGGCTCCCCAGTCATTCAGTCAGTCACAAAGACCAGACCAGGAGAGGAAGGCAATTGACTCCGATGTCTTTCGATTCAGCGCTAGTGAGGAACATGCTACTTACTATACAAGATGTTGAGATCTGTCATTGATGCCCCTAGGGATTCAAGAACCGACCTTTTTGGTCTCCAGTACCTCTAGCACTCCACCGACAAGATGCAAACTTCCCGTCACCAGAACCGAGACGTCAATCTCGCCATCCTCATCCTTTTCAGCCCCCTTGTTTTCCGCTGCCAACTCTCTCACAAAGTCCACTGCTTCTTCAATGGTACCCATGACCTGAACCTCACTCATCTGATCCAATTTTTTCCAGCTAGTAGCTAAGTTTTTTTGCACGCTGAGATGATCAATATCGCTGGCATTGGCATTGATACTGACAAGATCAGGCCTGTACCCGGCCTGTTTGAATGTGACATTCGTGCAGAAGAGGGCATGTGTGAAGTGCAGGTCTGGGTTCGACTTCTGTAATGTTCTGAAAAGCGCGTTTGCAAGACTGACTGCGTCACGGGTTTGCTGATTAAAAATCAGCACTCGTGGGGATTGCCTTGAGCTCCCCGACGATGCTTTCTGTGCCTTGGAGTGCGGGTGCGAAGCAAACCAACCTGCACTGGCTTCGATACTGTCCAGTGTATGTCCTCCGTCAATATGCCAGGCGACATTTCCTTCCACCCTCGTCTCGCAGCGCCCGCCCAGTTGAACGTTTTCAAGACCCTGTCGGAACTTCGAGGGCAGATGTTCGGTGTTCGTATCCTTGGGTATATCTCCATCAATCCCCATTGAGCGGAGAAAAGACGCAGAGACGGCGACTGCAAGATTCGCATTCGAGAACTGGAACGCTCCCGCGAGTCCCAACCTCACGCACCCTTCCGACCCAGGTTGTAAGTCCGGGTTTGAATGTGCATATTTGAGTTGAACCTCTCGTTCAGCGGCTCGCGACTCTAGGACAGGCACGGCGTCATTAAGTTGAGGAACAGTATATGCCTCGGCGCCCTTCTTCATGATGCCGGCTTTCTGCCATGCAATTTTATCGATTGTATCGCCTAAAAGTCCAACATGATCGATCCCCAGCCGGGCTATCCCCGTTACTTTGGGCTTTTCGATGATATTTGTACTATCGTACTGTCCGCCAATTCCGCATTCCAGGATTGTTGCATCGACTCCTTCGGCCAAGTAAGTGTGCAAAGCCATGAGGGTCAAGTAGCGGAAGTATACCGGCTTACTACCAGGAGCCTTCGGGTCGAGCCCAAGCGCAGCGGTGGATGCCTCAAGGCGATCCCATACTTCAAAGAAATACTTTGCGAATTTGGCCTCGGAGATGGGCTCGTCGTTTATCTTGATGCGTTCGCGCACGAAGCGGAGGTGTGGAGATGTGAATAGCCCAACCTTGCTGAACTTGGATGGCTTGGACGGGTCTGACGAGATGTACTGCTGCAGGATCGAGGAGATGAAGGCGCAGGTCGATCCTTTCCCTTTCGTACCGGCTATGTGTATGATGTTCAGTCTGTCAAAGTCAGACGGTTTGTATCCGATCTTGGCGGCCCAGTCGATCATCTGTGTCAGGGCGATGTCGTTGTTGACCTTGCCTGACTTGCGAATTGCTTCGATCGTAGCGAAATTGGATTGAAGGGTGTTCAGAGCCGCGACGGCGTCCTGAGGTCATGTCAATGTCAGCAAAGTCATTGTGTGAAGGATAGCGGTGTGCCTGGGGAAAGCTGACAGCATAGGTGCGAGCCATCCTGGATGGCGATGTGTGGAATGCCCTTGTTGCTGATCTGCGGTGGTGATGGCCGGTGCGTGGAGGGTTTGTACTGCGCGCAATAATACCTGCGCTGCGATACATGAATGAAGGGGGGCTGGAGCGAAGAGAAGCACGCAAGTCAGCCCATGCTGGATCATCCAGAGCCTCAGTGCAATGCGACGAACCCACTCTGATCTGGTCTGGTATGTGTTTTCATCCTGACCCCCGATGCCGGTGCCGGTAGCCCTTTGCAGGTGTAACCTCCGCGGAGAGACATTTCAGCTAATCCAAGACAAGACAACAGAAAAAGATACTGGCCAACGCTACACATAAGAATGACCCTCCAACCATTCCCGAATCCACGTTGCCCCTTCTCGCATCATCCCCTCCGTCAACTCATGCCCGACACCGGGGTAGCCAGTGACTTTGACCCTATCCGCGTCCAAGCGATTTACGAATCCCTCACCAGCTGCAAAAGGGACACTCTCATCGTCGTCACCTTTGAGCACTAGGATATCCTTTCCTGCTAGTTTCTCTGGCGACGGGCCCGTGGCGTTCACCACCTCAAGGAAAGCAGGGGGCAGAAGTGTCTCCTTCTCTGAAGCAGGCAGAGGCACCGTGGCCAGGCGGCCATGCATCAGGGATGGGTAATCGGGACATCCGCAAACTGCGACTCCAGCAGATATCAAGGGGTCTGGTTGATTGCAGTGGAGTGAGTATCCGCAGACATTTCATAGCGGCTTGCAGGTGGTCAAGACGAACCTTGCGACAGGGACAAGTAAGTGACATGGCCGCCCATCGAAAAGCCGGAGACTACGACATGTCCCAACTTTGGCTCTTTGTAGATGCTTGTTGGGAGAAGGCGGACGAGAAGGGATATGTCCTGCGATGTGCCGTAGACCATTGCCCACATATCCTTTCTGGGATAGCGGCGCTTGTAAGCCGTGAACAATTCAACACAACATGGAGAGACACGACATACGCATGGGTGGCATTTTGATCCCATCCCTCGTTTCGGACCTGATCAACGACTCTATGGCCATGATTGCGCTGGTCGAAGGAGACGACCAGCAGTTCCCGGCCCCTCAGCCTCTGCGATTCACCGTGCTCTTTCAGGATGCGACCTGCATAGTCCTCCATTGAGAGGTAAGTGTTGCCCCGCCCGTGCATGGTGAAGACGAGATCGAAGGTGGCACGGGCGTCACTGAGGACGGCATTGGAGTAGATGTGAATCTCTATGCCAGCGATGGATCTCGATGTCTTGTGGGGGCCCATGGTGATGGCGGCTTTGTCTGGTTATAGTTATAGTTGTGGTGGTGATGGTGAAGGTGAAGGGTCCGATTAGGCTCAGCTAAGCTCATGGTCAGTGCGGAGACGGCCTGTCATGTCATGTCCTGTCATGTCATGATGCAGGCAGAAGAGGGGGATTGTGTTGGAATGACGCTTGCAATGGGCATTGAAGGCCACGGCGACCAGGTATAAATATCCTCGTCTTCTCATGCTCTTCGTTCAATCTTCCTGATCTCTTCTTCACCAAAGACACCACAAGAAATACCTGCAGGTGAGCGATCATCTCGATGCATGGCAGTCCATACCTGGTCTAACAAACACTCAAGACCGCAAAGACTTGCTACAAATACCGACATATTCTCTCCTACTACAATCGCCAATCTTAACCAAAATGCCTCGTAAGCAGCCCCTCGACCCTCTCAGTCAATGCATGCAACTACTTACTGACGACCCGTCCGCCCATAGGCCCCAGTCTCTCTTCTGCTGAGCACAGAATCGTTGACGGCTACGGTGGCTGGATCGAATTCATGCACTCCTTTGGACTCAAAGAATACAACCAGGAGGACGTTGAGGAGGCCACAAGCATTGTCAGAGAGATGGCACAGCGTGGGAACTGATGCTCGATATGGGGAGATGGTTGATGGTCCGCGAGGTTTGTTGGACCGAGGAGGTTTATGTCACATCGATTCAATCCAATGCCCCTGACTGCCCCTGACTACATACCCCTGAAAGTAATCCACACCCAGCGGCCATCCTGCTTGATCCGAAACATCGTGATAACAGGATGCAAGGATATACTCACCCTTCTGCTTCTGATGACTATTGACGCTTTGGAAGAGTTCAGCCAAAGAATTTGGACGAGGCCTGCCTGCAGGAGCCCATAAATGAAGTTTGACCAATCTGCCTCCTCTCCATTCGTTTTCTCGCCAGTCAATCTTAGACAGGGTGTCTGGTCCTATCCCTATCCCAATCGTTCCTATTCCTGTCCCTCCTATCCCTATCCCTATCCCTGTCCCTCTCCCTCCTATCCCGCTCACGATCACGCTCACGCTCGCGCTCTCTATCAACACTTCTTCTCCTTCTCACCGGACTCCGACTCCTACTCCTTCCCCTGATGCCTGCACCGGGGATATACCTATCTCCATCAACCGCTCTTCGTGGCCGCGGAGACCGAGATCTTCGTCTTCGAGATGGTGAGCGCGAGCGAGAAGGTGTGCGAGACCGGCGCCGTCGGTGACCACGGTGGTCATGAGGACGTGGCAATGGGGGCGGAGAGCGGGAAGGGGAGTAGCCTCGTGCCGGACGATAGTGGTCGGATCCATCGCGATCGTGGTCAGGGCCACGGTCACGGTCACGCGGGAGCTGAGAACGTAAGGGCGAGTGGCCTCTATCTCTGTCTCTGTCTCTGTCTCTGTCTCTGTCTCTGTCTCTGTCTCTGTCGCCTCTGTCGCCGATCGAACGATGGTGGTCGCGATCACGGACGTCTCTGGTCCTTTCGCGGGACTGGCCGCGAGTATGTGCAATCCGCGCGAAGTCGCGATCGCGATCTCGATCTCTCTCACACTCACGTTCACGTTGTCGATCTTGTTCGTTGCGAGACGTATTCTTGTCCTCAGTTATAGCCTTTTCACGTTCTCGTTCTTTGTCTTTCTCTCGTGTGATGGGAGGAGGGGAGCGACCTGCATCTGACTTTCTCCGACTAGCGGCAGCAGTGGAACTTTTCGCGTCACTTTCCTTCACAGTAGACTTCTCTTCAGCATC